AAATTCATATGTTAAAATCTAGTCACCAGCAGGGGGCTCATGGGCTCACGCCTGTAATCCCAGCACTTTGGGAGGCTGAGGCGGGTGGCTCATGAGGTCAGAAGTTCAAGACCAGACTGGCCAACACAGTGAAACCTGGTCTCTACTAAAAATTACAAAAATTAGCTGGGCACGGTGGCTTCTGCCTGTAATCCCAGCTACTTGGGAGACTAAGGTAGGAGAATTGCTTGAACTGGGACCCGGGAGGCGGAGGTTGCAGTGAGCCGAGATTGTAGGACCTAGAAGGGCAGCGGCCGGGGCCCCCAGGAGTTACAGAGCCACTGGGCCAGCTGGAATGACTGTCTTGAAGTTTCTGTGCTCGGTATTTGAGCTTTTTGACAGCGTCTCGTACTAACCTAGATTCACTGAGGTAGAAACAGCATTGCTTATTTAAAAAGAGGCACAGACCTCCTTTTTCAGCAGTAAGGAGGTGGGTCTAAGCCTCTGCAGCTTTGTGGGGTGACTGTTGCTAAAGAGTCTAGCTGGTTTTGAGGGTGAGTGACAGGGTCTGTTGTTTCTTCTAGTGATGATTGGAAGTCTCGGGAGAGTGACTAGAAATATGATAATGAGTTTCTAGGCTTCCCGCTTTTAACCCGACACTGGTCGTGACTCCAGGGGCTGCTAAGAAGGGAATGAGCTGTGTTGCTCCTCTTGGGTGGGCGTGTAGCATAGCAGGGACAGGGAGTTCTTGGTCTGGAGGGACAAGGTAAATGTTGGGGGCCAGGCAGACTAGAGTGCAAGTACCTGTCCAGTGGGCAGGAGACAGAAGTAGGTTGTGGATCTGCAGAGGAAGGAGATGCCTGCCCTGTTAATGAGACAGACAAGTGGATGGAGACCAGGTGTTGGAGTGCAGAGGTTCCTCGTTCGGAGGGACTCGGGTCACCTTCAGCAACTCAGAGTAAGCAGGAGAGAGAGACCCCTTGGAGAACCCCTGTCTGGGGACAGGGCTTCCATGTTTGGGAGGTATTCGGAGGGGCTGGGTAGAGGTCGGTAGCCTCAGGGGAAGCTGAATGGGAAGAGGGACAAGAGACAGTTTGAGCTGAGCCACAGGCAGAGGGAGGGATGGTGCCCACGTGTCTGTCCATCGAAAGAGGTGACACATAAGTGGGCGTGGCCAAGCTCTGGGGTGTGGAGGGTGAGGCAGTTTTGCACGGCTATAATTGGCAGTATATGTGGAGAGAAGTTTGGTGGCTGTTAGCGAGGGCAGTGGGACAGTTCCCAGTGAGGGTGAGGGCTTTGTCTGCAAAGGCAGAGCCTTTTTGGACGCTGTGTGAGAAGCCAATGGAAATACGGTCCCAGGGCTGAGAACCTGGGATGCTGGGCAGGCCGCGGAGGAAGGAGAAGCAGGCCCAGCTGCAGGAATCGAGTGCACAGCTGGATAGCAGCAAGGAGTGCGTGAGATCAGGAGATCCCTCAGGCTTTGCAGAAGTGAGTGGAGACCCCGAGGGAGCAGAGGCAGTGGGGCTGGCGGTTAAAAGAGTTGGAACTGGAGGAAGATTTGGAGCCTGTATCTGGGGGAAGGAGCTAGTGAATAAGGGGCCATTCGTGATGGGGGTCCCTCTGGCAGTAAGAATGTGCTCTCTTGCCAGATGGCTGCATGGGAATGCAGGCAAACTTGGAGTCTGTAAAAATGTTGGCTCGTTTGCCTTTGGAAAGGGTTAGGGCCCTGGTGAGAGCGACGCATTCTGCTTTCTGGGAGGAGGTTCCGGAGGGTAGGGGTTTGGCTGTAATTACTCTGTCAAGAGTGACAGCTGCATACCCAGCAGTTTTATGGAAGGTGACCGACTTGGAAGAGTAGCCACTTAGAAATAACCAATCATCAGGATCGGGGAGAGGCTCAAAAGAGATATTAGGGGGCCGGGCGCGGTGGCTCAAGCCTGTAATCCCAGCACTTTGGGAGGCCGAGGCGGGTGGATCACGAGGTCAAGAGATCGAGACCGTCCTGGACAACGAGGTGAAACCCCGTCTCTACTAAAAATACAAAAAAAAAAAAAATTAGCTGGGCATGGTGGCGCGTGCCTGTAATCCCAGCTACTCAGGAGGCTGAGGCAGGAGAATTGCCTGAACCCGGGAGGCGGAGGTTGCGGTGAGCCGAGATCGCGCCATTGCACTCCAGCCTGGGTAACAAGAGCGAAACTCCGTCTCAAAAAAAGAAAAAGAAAAAAAAAGAGATATCAGGGAAACGAGGCTGTAGGTGATGGAGGATTTCAGCACAGGAGTGGGTGGGAGGAGAGGAAGGTACAGGAAGCAGAGATGCAGGATTGAGGGGAACCCCTTCGGAGAGGCCGAACGCAGGGTTTCCAAGAAAGAGGGCGTGCCGCAGTTGGATGCAAGGACGAGGAAGTGCCCAGTGCTCGGAGGAGAACGGATCTTGTAGACGGCGTGGGCTGTGGACTGTGCTGTCTTGACGGAATGTGAGTTTCTTGCATTCTAAGGCTGGGGCTGTGAGGCAGGTCTAGTTGTTTGGAGAGGCAAGCTATGGGGGCAGAGGAAGGGGGGCTTCCTCTTTGCTGGCCAAGGACACCAAGGGCTGCTCCATGGTTTTCGGCCGTGCAGAGATGTCAGGCAGAGATGGAGCAGGAGCAGTGACGAGGGCGGCTTTAAGTTTGAGGGAGCCAGGGAGGATGTCGTGTGAAGGATTTAGGGGCTTATTTAGAGGCCCTTTCGCTGCTTCAAAGAGGGGTAGAGGACGAGAAGGGCAAAATTGGGAATCCATAATCTGAAGAAGCCTGCAAGTCCTAGGAAAGAGAGGATTTCACCCTTAGAGGTGGGTGGGGGCAGGCCACCTGTCAATGCCGCCCCTGCTGAGGTCTGAGGTCATGGTTCCGGCCCCGGGGCACAGCTGGACCCCTAAGTACGTCACTGTTGGAGTGGACAGCTGTGCTTTGGAGGGGAAACCCCGTATCCTTTATTAGCAAGAAAGTTTAGAAGGGCAATAGCGTGAGTCTGAGAGTCCTCTCGGGAGGGGTTACAAAGGAGAAGGTCATCCAGGTGCTGGAGAAACCGACCAGGGGAGGGGTCTGCAGCTAGAGCTTGTCCCGAGAAATGGGGGTTATCTCCAAAGCCTTGAGGGAGGACTGTCCAAGTGACTTGTCATGACCGGAGGGTTTCAGCGTCAGTCAGTGAAAGCAAAGAGGCTGTGGGAGTCAGGGTGAAGAGGAATGGTAAAACAGGCATCTTTTCAGTCTATTACAGGGTAATGGGCTGCGTCCGGAGGGATAACGGAAAGGAGCGTGTAGGGGCTGGGGACTACCAGGTGGACGGGAAGAACTGCCTGCGGGACAGCCCAGGGATCCTGGATGTCGGAAACAGATGCTCAGTTGGAGCCGCAGAGAAAATCAGCACTGAGAGAAAAGAGCTTTCCACAACGCAGTTACCTCCTGGACTGCAGGAAGGGGACCCTCGGTAGCCAGCATGCCACGAGAGGACAGTGAGCAAAGGAAGCGCACACACGTCTCCCTTACACATTTGGGGTTGTCCCTACTGCTGTGTCTGATCTCCGTTGGCTGGAGCCAGACCTCACCGTCTAAACTAAAACCCGATTGGCTAACAACATAAAACTTTCTAAACATGTCAAAGCCGTGGAGAGCTGGGACACCCCTGTGAGCACGTCCAGCACAAGGACACAGAGTGTACTACGTGCCTGTGAGCATGGCATGTCTAACAGCTGCGTCGGATAGGGCTTAACAGACCTAACAAGAAAGAAAACTTTACGGCCGGGCGCGGTGGCTCAAGCTTGTAATCCCAGCACTTTGGGAGGCCGAGGCGGGTGGATCACGAGGTCAAGAGATCGAGACCATCCTGGTCAACATGGTGAAACCCCGTCTCTACTAAAATACAAAAAAAATTAGCTGGGCGTGGTGGCGCATGCCTGTAATCCCAGCTACTCAGGAGGCTGAGGCAGGAGAATTGCCTGAACCCAGGAGGCGGAGGTTGCGGTGAGCCGAGATCGCGCCATTGCACTCCAGCCTGGGTAACAAGAGCGAAACTTCGTCTCAAAAAAAAAAAAAAAAGAAAGAAAGGAAACTTTAAAAAGAACCTTTTCTCCTTCCCACACTGGACTAGCCAACGTGAGCCATGGCCTTTGTGACGCGGAGTACAGGGGTATCGTATGGAGAATGAGTCGGCCTAAGGTGGCCTTGGAGAGGAGTCTGTTTACAGTGGGTCAAAAGCCTTTAGGTGCGTTAATGAAATGCGATACTGGGGAAATTAGGAAATTTAGACGGGTCTTTAGCTGGATTTTGATGAGATCATGGTGAGCCGCTAGAGAAGGGGCAATGGAATCCCAAACTACTGGATTAACAGGAGAAGCCAGGAGTGGATGTTGTGGGGAGGGGTTGAGGGCTGGCGTGGCAGTGGGGGAGAGAAGGTCATGGAAGCTCTGAAGTTGGTGAGGAAGTCTCTGCCTAGGATGGGGGTAGGGCAGGAGGCGTGACAAGGAAGGGGTGTGAGAAAACAGTATCGAATAGGGAGCAAGGGAGAGGTCCGGTGGCACGTGGGTGAAGATGGGTCCGCCAGCCCCCCACAACTGAGACCTGAGAGCGACGAGTGGGTCCTGAGAATTCAGGCAAAGCCCAGTGGGTGGCCGCGGTATTGATTAAAAAAGAGATGGGCTTGCCTGCTACTAGTAGGGTGACCCTGGGTCCGATGCAGGGATGGCAGCTGGGGCTGGGGCCCCGGGCCGCGGAGCTGCGGAACTGCAAGCGATTCTTCCCTTGCCTTGCTGAGTGGGTGGTGGCTCTGAGGTGCTGGCTTTTCAGTCATCTGTTGAGAGGACAGTCAGACGTCCGGGGCCTGTGTGCCGGCAGACTGGGCAGGGGCTCTTCGGCACGCACGGGTCAGGACATACCTGCACCCGGTGGCCTCCTTTGCTGCACTCAGAACAGGGCCCGGAGCATGACGACCTTGTGGCCTTGGGTACCACGGCTGGGCTGATGGAGAGCCGCAGCTAGAAGCTGGTGTTTAGCACGGTCTCTTTGGGAATCTATTAGTTTATTTTGCTTATCCCTGTTACGGAAGACTTGGAAGGCCAGGCTGAGGGGGTCTCGTTGTGGGGTTTGAGGCCCTCTTCAGCCTTTTTAAGTTTGCGCCAGATGTCGGGGCGGAGTGGGAGATAGAATGGGTGTCAAGATCAGCAGGTTCTTCTCGGGAGGCAGGGCCGACGCAAGTGTATTTTGGGGGAGCCTCTGTAAGGCGGGAAAGGGGTTGGGCAGGACTTTCATCCGCCTTTTGGGAAATTTCTTTAACTTTTTCAAAATGTACGGTCTGTGGGCAGCCCTGTGAAGGTCTGCAATAAGGCAAGTCATCGTCCGTGGCAGGAAGCCCGGCCGGGGTCTGCGGGTTGGTGCTTCCAGGAAGGGTTTTCCCAGGGAAGGCAGCGGCTCCGACGGGCTCAGGGGGGCCTCGCTGATGAAGACTATCAGCTTGTGCCTGGGCCGTGAGCCACACTCTTTGCTTCTCTCATGGAAGGAGGGTAGAAGAGAGGATAAATAACATAGGGATCATGCCAACTGAGTTCATAAGACTGGGCGAGATATTTAAATTCTTTGATGTAAGTATTGGGATCGGAGGAGAAGGACCCAAGACGTTTTTCAGTCCGGGAGAGATCAGAGGGGAAGGAGATGTGGATACAGATGACCCTGCAGCCCCAGCTGCCTCCCCGGGGGGAGCAAGGGAGCGGGTTGCCTGGCATGCTGGGCACGCGGGGTGCGCCGGGCACGCTGGGCTACAGAGCAGGGAGAGGCGGAGACAGAGGGGTGGCTGAGGAGAGGTGGGGACCGGATCGTGATGCTGTCAGGAAGGGGGAATTGGCAGGGTCAGAGAAAGAGTCATTGGCTGGGGCTGTGGGGAGGGAGGCAGGTTTGGAGGAAGCCAGGAGGATTTGAAAGCAGAGCAGCAGGACCTGCCAGCTGCTCCGAAACAGTCAGAGGGGCAGCCCGGAGCTTACAAAACAAGGGGTTTATATGGGGTGAGAGGGACTTAAGGGAGTTTCGGGACCAAGATAGTGTGTCAGCTTGTAACAGGCACAGAGATAGTCTGTCAGCTTGCGACAGACTTACATCATCCTGTGACTTTTGTGGCAGCAGTTTAAATAAAACAGGAATTCACAGGTATGTGTAAAACAGGAATTTACAAGTCCCTATGACAAAGCTCTGTTTCCCGTGACCCTCCCCATCTGCTCAGCTGGCTGTGGCCTGTCGGGTGGCCTTGCTGCTGCGGCGCCTGCACGCGGGGTTAGGAAGGCGGCTGCAGAGCAGCAGGGTGAGGGCCAGCTGCGCCAGGGCGTCCTGGGGGCGGCTCGTCCCTAACAGCTCACTGTACCGGAGTCTTGAGTTTTCTGTAAAAGGAAGTTATTCGATGTAAACGGTTAAAACACAGCAGAGTTTCGTAACTCTGCTTTGTCATTTCTTGTTTTTCTTTTTTAATATAGTAAAAAGAAAGAAAGAAAAAGAAAGAAAGAAAGAAAAAGAAAGAAAGAAAGAAAAAGAAAAAGAAAGAAAGAAAGAAAGAAAGAAAGAAAGAAAGAAAGAAAGAAAGAAAGAAAGAAAGAAAGAAAGAGAGAAAGAAAAAGAGAACGAAAAAGAAAGAAAGAGAAAGAGACCGCTGCTGCCTGCTCTTCCTGGCACTCTGAGCACCGCGCTTTTCAGCCGCCCGACTCCAGCTGCTGCACACCCTAAACCGGGGCGCCCCAGCACCCGGGACGGGGCCTCTGTCCCCCGGCCTCCTGGCCCGGCTCACCGGCTTCCTGAGAGGGGAGCCCCTCGTTCGGCTCCGCCGGAGGCTCCTGCCGCTCTCTTCCGCCCTCTGCTGGTCACGGGTGTTCGTGGCAGTCACTCCTCGGCCCTCCCCAGGTGACAACAGGAAGGGGAGGGAGCGCACCTGCGGATGGAGAAAGTCACCTGCTGTAAAACAGAGCGCCTGATGGGCGTCACTGAAGTCCCCAGGAGAGAAGCGGAGGGTGGGGTGTTGGGGAAGATGCACCGCTGCATGAAAGCTAATATAAAGAGGTGCTGGCATAAATGAAACGTTCGTGTCTCTGCCAAATTCATATGTTGAAATCTTAACCCCCCAGGTGAGGGGAGGCTTTGCGGAGGTGATTATGTCCTGTGAGTGGAGCCGCCTGCATGCAATTAGCGCCCTTAGAAAAGGGGCCGCAGAGCCAGCTGGGTCCTTCCACCATGTGAGATTATAGCTAACTGACATACATGGCCATCCGTAGAAGAGAAAGTGTGTTCTCATCAGACACCAGATCTGCTGGTGTCTCGATCGCGGAGTTCCCAGCCTTCAGACCTGTGAGAAATAGATTTCTGTTAGGCCAGGCGTAGTAGCTCATTCCTGTAATCCCAACTCTTTGGGAGGTCAAGGCAGGAGGATCACTTGAGGCCAGGAGTTTCAGACCAGCCTGGCAAAGCAGTGAGACCTCATCTCTACAAAAACTTAAAAGTTAGCCAGGCATGGTGGCATATACCTGGAGTCCCAGCTGCTTGGGAGGCTGAGGCAGGAGGGCGACTTGGGCCCAGGAGTCTGAGGTTGTGGTGAGAGCTATGATCGTATTATAGTCCAACCTGGGTGTCAGAATGAGACCCTGTCTCAAAAAAAATTTTTTTAAATCCTGTTGTTTCTTTTTTTTTTTTAATGTTTTTTCTTTTCTTTTCTTTTCTTTTTTTTTGAGATGGAGTTTCGCTCTCGTTACCCAGGCTGGAGTGCAATGGCGCGATCTCGGCTCACCGCAACCTCCGCCTCCTGGGTTCAGGCAATTCTCCTGCCTCAGCCTCCTGAGCAGCTGGGATTACAGGCACGCACCACCATGCCCAGCTAATTTTTTTTTTGTATTTTTAGTTGAGACGGGGTTTCACCATGTTGACCAGGATGGTCTCGATCTCTTGACCTCGTGATCCACCCGCCTCGGCCTCCCAAAGTGCTGGGATGACAGGCTTGAGCCACCGCGCCCGGCCAAACTCCTGTTGTTTATAAGCCACGCAGTCCATGGTACTGAAGCACAGGAGCTCGGAAGGACGGGGCAGGAGGGGAGGAGTCAGTCTTGCACGCAGTTGTCACTTTGAACTTAGGTGAGAATTCTCACTTGGCTGTAAAATCGGTCAGTAGAAACCTAGATTCTATAGGTCAGCAGGAGCAACTCCCTTTCCTGACTGTGACCAGGAAGGGAAGACAAAGGGTCGTGGCCTTTCCCCACGCTCCTGCTGGTCAGCTTCCCTGACACCAAGGCCCAGCAATCCTGCCTGGGCGGCTGGGAGAACAAGCCCCTCTTTTGTTAGGAAGTTGGACCAAAGACTCCCCATGGGCCCGTCCCGCTCTGGACATCTGGAAATCCAGGGGCAAAGACACAGTGTTCCTCCCCACCGTTTCACAGGGTTGTGACATGGCCTCTTAGTGTGCTCTCGGGTTCCTCTGTCTCTTGAGGTCAAGGACCCTGGCAAAACCCTTTACTTGGATAGAGCAACCGTGACAGTTAATCTTATGTGTCAACTTGGCTGGGAAGAGATGTCAAGAGAAGCGGTAAAACATCATTTGTAGGCATGTCTGTAAGGGTGCGTCGGGAAAATGTTAGCGTGTATATCCGGGGCTAGGTAAGGAAGAGCCGCCCTCACTCACATGGGCAGACATCTTTCGAACCACTGAGGAACTGAACAGAAAAGCGGAGGAAAGGCAAGCTCTGTCTCAGCTGGGACACTCATCCTCTCCTGTCCTCGGAAATCAGTGCTCCTGCTTCTAAAACCACCTTTGCAAAACTGTGGCTGAGACACTGAAAGAGATCTAACTTAACTGACTCCATCTTGCTTCTAACCTCCCAGCTGTCCTTGTTCATTCCTGGGCATGGGCTGAACTAACTTTGGGAGAGCCTTAGTTTATAGTTAGAAACAACGACCGTAACAGCCCTTTCCCAAAGCCCTTTCCCCAAACCTCCTTCTTGCCTGGGGACTAGAGTGTCTTTGTAGGACTAGCAAATTAGCCACAGGATTAGAAATGACGGTTTAGGAGCCATGCAGCTGGAGGCCACAAGATTCCCAGTCTCTCTAAGATCAGTGCTTGAGACACTTTGCAGACCCTGCTCTTGACGGACAGCTGGTGCCACCCAGACTGACCATCTGGCTCAGCGGACCTTGTGGGCCCCACCCAGGATCGGACTCCGCGCAAGACAACACCTTTGACTCCCTATGATTAAATCTCTAACCAATCAGCACTCCCGGCCCACTGGCTTCCCCCAACCCACTGAGTTGTCCTTAAAAACTCTGCTGCCCAAGTGTTCTGGGAGACTGATTTGAGCAGTAGTGACACCCCGGTCTCCCGCACGGCCGGCTCTGCGCGCATCACCCTATCCGTTGCAATTCCCCTCTCTTGCTAAATTGGCTCTGCGTAGGCCCTGGGCAAGGTGAACCCACTGGGCGGTTACACTTCTCCGGCCTTCAAGCTCAGACTCAGTTTCCCCGCTGGCTTTCCTGGCTCTCTAGCCTGCAGAGAGCGGGTGGTGGAGTTCCTCTGCTTCCAGAATCGCGGGAGCTGATTCCCACAATAAATCTCATATACTGTATGTATCCTATTGGTTCTGTTTCTCTGAAGAACCCCCCAAAATACAGAAGTCAACCCTGATTTTCCCACCACTCACTCCCCAGCAACAATTTGGCCAAGTTCTCTTGGTTAGAGTGGAACTCAAAAGCACCAAACTGCGAGCAGAACAGGGAAGCAGGAATCCGTTTCTTTGAGACTCAGGGCACCACGCTGTGGAACGGTTCGCTCTGGGGGGGGCCTCCCCTCCCTTCACCCCCAAAGTCAGGCTCGCTTTAAACCTACCAGCCAAGTTAGGCCATCTTCAGCTGCCTAGAGCTGGAGATACTAGAAATCATCTTATCTCCATGTTCTTCTTTTAGGAAGAATACACTGAGACCAGAGAGGCCGGCTTCCTCCGGGTTTAAAACACTCTCAGTTCTAGGGCTGGGGCTCCCAATCGATTTGGTATCAAGGCCCCATGACACTCTTGAAAATGAGAACTCCAGGGGGCTTTGGTGTGGGGATTACGTCTATTGATATTTACTGTATCAGAAGCCAGAACTGAGAAAAGCCGTGACGGGCCTGGTGAGAAGAGCAGCTCCGGCTGCCTGCACGTCTCACTCACGTCTGACTCAGCAGAAAGCAGCTGGAGTCTCTCACACTTCTGCATTCCGTCTGTTGCAATATCACAGAGTAGTCGCCTGTAGAAAATTCCAGTCTAAGCCGGGCACGGTGCCTCACGCCTGTAACCCCAGCACCTCGGAGGGCTGAGGTGTGTAGATCGCTTGAGCTCACAAGTTAGAAGCCAGCCTCGGCAACATGAAGGGACCCCATTTCTTCACAGACTTAAAAATCGGTTGAGCACGGCGACGCACGCCTGTGGTTCAAGCAACTCAGGAGGCTGAGATCAGAGGATTGCTTGAGGCCGGGAAGTTGAGGCTGCAGAGAGCCGTGATCACGCCACAGAACTTCAGCGTGGAATTCAGGGGAATGAAGTGAGGCCCTGCCAAAAAAAGGAGAGAAAGAGAGGAAGGGAGGAACGAAAAGGAAAACTCTAGTCTACACACGTGAGAGCGAAAAAGAAACGCAACGTCACAGCATGACGATGAAAATCGTTTTGACCTTGCAGATCCCCTGAAAGACCTCAGGGGGTCCATGGGGTCCCCAACCACACACTGAGAACTGTAGGTATCGAATAAGCAGGAGTATGTCTGGAGTGCTCGCCTCCCAAATCTCCATCTGGCACCTTTATTTTTTATTTTTATATACTGATGGTGAAGAATCCCTGTTTTATTATTATTATCTTTATTTTTATTTTTTTTTGAGATGGGTCTTCCTACATTGCCCAGGCTAGGCTGAAATGCCTGGGCTCAGTCTACAGTATTTCATGACAGCATAAATCTGACACTTCTCCCCTCAGTCCACCTACATAGTTAACGTGGTTGGGGAGAAAAGAATAACGTGGGAAAAGCCAGAAAACCCTGAAAAGGAAGTAAAGATGAAAAATCAACCCGCCGGATATTAAAATGTCTAGAGACCAGAGTTGGCCCGTAGAGGCGGACGAGAAGGGCTTGCTCGTCCGGCCACCGCGTCTTGCGCCATGTCCCACATTATATTTGTTTATGTCTGGCTCCCCAGCTGGCCACCCACATCCTCAGGTCCATGGCCCAGTGTATTCATCTCTGCATACCCAGTGCCCAGATTGCCTGACACACAAAGGGAACTCAGGGAATGCCCCGCGGAGCAACATGCTCTTCCTGCTCCCTCCGCGAAGGGACACGTGTGGGGGACGGGGGGCAGGCAGAGCAGCGTGGCCAGGTTGGCAGAATCGGATGCTCCTAGGTTTCAGTGCCCACGTCACACCTCTGAATGTTGAAAGCAGACGGATCACTGAGGTTCTCCGCTCACACTGCATGAGTTCTCTTTGCTTCATGGGAAGTTGTTCTCCCACTGTCTCCCTTGCCAACAGCCAAGCTGCCCGGCATCCCTTTCCTGACAGAGGGTGTGTTGTAGGGTTCAGCTTCTGTCCAGGAGCCTCAGGATGATAGACAGCCTCCTCTGTTCTTGGAAACACCCCTGCACCTCCAAATCCGTAAGTCAGGGTGCCTGGAACCACTCCGGAGCCATCTGTTGTCCCTGTTAAAGTGATCACGTTACTGGAAGTTTGGTTTCTTCTGAGGCCTTTGGTTTTTTCCCCTTGGCTTATAGGTGCCCACCCTCCTGCTGTGTCCCCCTCTGCCCTTCCCTCAAGACGTGTCTGTCCTGATCCGCTCCTCCACATGCACACTCACGGTGCACCCTATGTACAGAGGCCTTCTCATCCCACCTCTCCCAGGGGTCAGCACCATGCTTTGCAAATAGGTGCACGATCAGCATCTCTTGGATTTATATGCAGTCGTGAAAAAGAACTTGATTCGTTTTTCTTGGTAACGTTAATGCAATCCTTATGAAAAATCAGGTCCAAGAGCTACGCAAAGCACCGTGTAACATCACCCCGCTTAATCCTCTGAACTGGGCTTGTCAAAGGCACGTGAGCCAGAACCGTCTTGAACGGGGCTGAGGCCTACTGGGCTTCATTCCCAGACAGTTGAGGAATTCTAAGTCACGGGATGAGACAGGAGGTCACCACAAGATACAGGTCACACAGACTGTGCTGATAAAACAGGTCGCAGTGAGAAAGCTGGTCACATCTCACCAAGCCCAAGACAGCCGTGGCAGTGACCTCTGTTCGTCCTCCCTGCTGCACTCCTACCAAGTGCCGTGACAGCTTACAAATGCCAAGAAGTTGCCCTAAGTGGTCTAAAAAGGGGAGGCATGAATGATCCACCCCTTGTTCAGCACACCACCAATACCATAAAAATGGGCAACCAGCAGCCCTGGGGCTGCACTGTCTGTGGAGCAGCCACTCCACTCTCTGGCTCCTTTACTTTGCTAATAAACTTGCTTTCATTTTCCTCCGCAGACTGGCCCTGAATTCTTTCTTCTGCAAGATCCAGGAACCCTCACTTGGGGTCTGGACATGGACAGTTTTACTCACAACACAGCTGACACCAAATCTGTGGGTTTTTCTTCCACCCAGCAACCAATCAATTCTGATTCTCCAGATATCAACTAGGTATCCTACAGTTCAATTCTGACCTGCCTACCTGGAGCTAGAATCGAATTCCACAGGTTACGGTTTCGGTCTCACAAAACTGCCCCCACTTCACGGGATCTCCAGGTTCTCACCGGCACTTTTGACTGACCAGCTATAAATTCAAGGGTTCCCACACACAATTCCTCCATCTCAGATTTGATAAATCAAGAGAACAGGCTCATAAAACTCAGGAAAGTATTTTACTTACTATTACCAGTTTCTTATAAACAGCACAACTTAGCAACACCCAGATGAGAGAGACAGGCAGGGCAAAGCACGGGGAGAGTGTGCAGAGCTTCCCAGCCTTCAGCCGGCACCACCCCCTCCCAGCGCCTGACAGTGCCCCTGAACCCAGCAGCTCTCAGATACTCTTCTTCGGGTTTCTTAGGGTTCCATCATTTAAGCATGATTGATTAATCACTGATCGTCGGTGATTAACCTGAATCTCCAGCCCCTATTCCTTCCTGGGAAGTCACGGGCTGGAGCTGACAGTTGCAATCCTCTCATCAAGGCAGAGTTGCTCCCCCTGGCAACTAGCAACCAGCCCCCACCCTCCAGGAGTCCCCTCATTAGCAAAAACTCAGGTATGGATGAAAGGGGCTAGTTAGGAATAACAAAAGATTTCCTCTTGCCCCTATCAGTCAAGGAATTCCAAGGGGTTCAGAAGCCTCCATCAGGAAACAGGGACAAAGACCGAATATGTAATTCTTGTTATCACAAATTCTCACAGCCATCCTGTCTGGCACGCACTGTTAACAACGTCCTCATTCTATCGATGAAGCAACTGGTAGATAATAATCACAACATAAATTATAGCGTTTGTTATGTATAAGCAACAGTTCTATAATTATAGATTATACCCTATACTGCAGTACATATATAATCACACATATACTATACATAAGGTATTATCCTATAACCTAAAAGTAGTAGATATTAGACCAGGTGTGGTGGCTCACGCTTGTAATCCCAGCCCTTTTGGGCTGAGGCGGGTGGATCATCTGAGGTCAGGAGGTCGAGACCAGCCTGGCCAACATGGTGAAACCCTGCCTCTACTAAAAATACAAAAATTAGCTGGGAACGGTGGCACATGCCTGTAATTCCAGCTACTTGGAAGGCTGAAGCAGGAGAACCACTTGAACCCGGGAAGTGGAGATTGCAGTGAGCAGAGGTCGAACCACTGTACTGCAGCCTGGGCAACAAGAGTGAAACTCCGGCTCAAAAAAAAAAAAAAAAAAGTAGTAGACATCAATACTTGTTGTTGTGTTATATATATATATTTATTATTATTATTATTTTCTTTTTCTTTTTTAAAGACGGGGGTCTCACCACGTGGGTCAGGCTGGTCTTGAACTCCCGACCTCAGGTGATCCGCCCGCCTTGGCCTCCAAAGGGCTTGGATTACAGGCGTGAGCCACCACGCCCGGCTGTGTTATATATGATTTCTACAATAACGCTATGTGGAGAGAACTACTTGACCCTGATTTGATGAGTGAGGAAACAGTTCTACAGAGAAGTTAAATAACGTGCACAGATCCACTCTATGATGTGCCCTAAAGAAATTCTGAGCCGTGTTCACAGTGACACACACAAGGGTACTCAGTGAGGAACTGTTCGCTGCACCGAGAGTAAACACTGCCAGGGGGAAGCGTATCCGTGTCACCCAGCAGGCTCACCTTGCCGCTGCTAGATGGAGCCCGTTGCTCAAGACAGGGGAACCGCAACGGAGAAAGGAATTCCCGCAGAGCCGGCTGCGCAGGAGACCTCGGTGCCATTATCACTCAAATCAGTCTCGGTGGCAGCAGAGTTTTTAGGAACACTTGGTGGGTGGGGGAGAGCCAGCGAGCCAGGAGGGCTGACTGGCCAGAGATGAAATCGCAGGGAGTCCAGGCTGTCCTGTGCTGAGTCAGCTGCAGGTGGGGGCCCGGGACCGGCTGGCGAGTCCAAGTGGAGCCATCAGTTGTCAGCTCCACAGGAGCCCGAAAAGGCCTCTGACGAGGCGGATCTGAGGTTCTGCAATAGCGATGCCATCTGCAGGAGTAGTCGGGGGAGCTGCAAAGCTTGTGTCCTCAGGAGTAACTGGCGGGTAATTATTTAACTATGCCCACAACTCGGAATCCAGGCCTCTGTCATCCTTCTAACTCGGTGGCCTTTCGTTAGTCTGTTTTCTTCTGTTTTGAGACGGAGTCTCGCTCTGTCGCCCAGGCTGGAGTGCAGCGGCACCACCTCTGCTCACTGCGACCTCCTCCTCCTGGGTTCAAGTGATTCCCCTGCCTCAGCCTCGAGAGTAGCTGGGATTACAGGCACCTGCCAGCACGCAGGTGTCTATTTTTAGTAGACATGGGGGTTTCACTGTGTTGGCCAAGCTGGTCTCAAACTCCTGACCTCATGATCTGTCTGCCTTGGCCTCCCAAAGTGCTGGGATTACAGGCATGACGCACCCCGCGCAGTGGCCTTTCATTAGTTTGATGAGGGCAGTTTAG